ATTAAAATCCTAATAGACGAAGAGTTTATTTTATTGTAAATCAAACACAATATTTCACCTTTCGTAAGTACAAAAATCTAAAAATCGAACTGACAACAGCAAAAAAGGAACTCTTATGGTATCAGTAATAAAAACGTGTATGTATTGTCATTTTTATACATAATAGTATATACCTACTAAATTCATTGTCTTTTCAAGGTCTAAATTTTTGGTAAATGGTCAACGTTGAACATTTTTTGATCTCAAGTGGATATTTTGGACATTTTTCAACTTTTCTGGCATTTGCACATTTTTTACCAAAATTCTTAAATTTAAGGCTGATCCGACGGGCTGAATTTGGAACGAGTACAAGAGTACCGTAGCAGACTAATTGCTACTTAACTAATAAATATATAAGCAAACTTTTTTTTATATTTTAAAGAAATGGGATGTTTCGAGTTAGATTTTTTTAGATTATTTTAATTATGATTTGATACTTCAGAAAACTTCATCAATGTTGGTGTTTTTCAACACAAATTTACATCAAATCTGGACCAATTTTCAAATGTAAGTGTAAAGAAAGAATCATCCTTTGTTTATACATTGATGCCAAAAACATTACAATACATCCATCAATAGTTCATAAATATTTCAATACATCCATAAGTAATTAGACTCCTTTGTAAACCCAATTTGTTGTAAAATGTATTGTAAACATACGGTTGACGTTGAACCGTTGAATCAGCCTTTTACAGGTGAAAGACGATTGAATATGAACAATTTAGAGTTGTCAGTCTCGCCGTATTGAGTTCCAAATATCGTAATTTTTGCAAATATTTATTTAATTAATTTAAACCAACCTACTACTTCCGAGAGTTAATAAATGTTATGGGGCGTATGCTACGGGGCGAATTTGTCGGGGCGAATATTCCGGGGGCGAATTTACTTGGGGGCAAATATTCCGGGGACGAATTTTCGGGGGCGAATTTACCGGGGCGAATTTACCGCACACCCCTGTCAATCTTAGAATTAATAATCTGGTTCATCGTCTGAGATTCCGCGTCGGATTTATTAATGAATGTTTGGGTACTTTTGTATGGTGTGTCAGTTGTACAGGTCTGAAGGGAAGCATTTTTCCTTTATATTAATTATTTCCGTGCAATTAACAAGTGCATCTGTTTGAGTAAAATAATCCCTAGTATTAGATTGATAGCAGAGGCTTTTCAAACTGCCTAATTCGTTCTTAAGATCTTCAATATCTTTGGATAAGTTTTTATTCTCAGCTTTTAGATTATACACCAAAGTTAACAGTTTGGAGTTTTCATCTTGTAGTGAGTTTTCCATAGAAATACTATCATTTAATTTTTCGTCCATTTGGTTTTTAATTGTTTTTCTTAAATTGGAGTAGTGAATCGATTTCTTGTTTCAGGTGGTTAATTACTTTATTTAAACTGGTAACTTCGTCATCTCGCTCAGAGAGCTGCCTTTCTAAGTAGTCAACTACACTCGTAGATCGTTTATTATATAATATAATGTTCATTTTTATGCAACAGCATTTTCGGTTTAAATTTGTGCAAATATTATGGTACCTATACTTTACTACAAAGGAGAATTAATTATCAATTGCAAAAAGTGGAGACCTTGGTTACGTTTTGCGTAATTACACTCACCAGAATGTGATTTAAAAGAGACAAGGATTGTCTTGTAACACTTTAACTGTGTTAAATAGGTACATGTTTTCTATGAAATTTGCACTTTCGACTTGATTAAAACAGAGCAATGTAAAACACGTCGTATTCGCACAACGCACAAATTGGAATCCGATTTTCCGAAAACGCCGATTTTCGTGATAAAGATATAATTGAAAAACTATGTACAATATAATAATATACGCTTACAAGGGAACGCGAAACCGCGTTGCTTACTTCAATGCTTCAAGTTTAGGTCTTATCATAGAGTAAATGGTCCTATTTACATGCAAACCTGACAGATCCGCCGTGAGCTCCATAAAGGCGGATTTTTCTGCACGCCGGAAATCTAAACAGATCACCAGGCGGCATTCTATCACTATTTAAATTCTGGGTTGTGTACTGTGCGAACTGCTATGGATAATAGAAATTATGAAATTCCTCGTGTGAGATCGAAGGGACTTCAGCGCATTTTTGTGTGGCAGATCAATATTTTATTAGCCACTGTTGACTCCACCATCAATAAGATCTTGTCGAAAGCTACCACATTCACTTTGTCGGTACCCGCTTCTCACTTCCGTGCACTCGCAATTCGCGTGTGAAGTTTTGACTCCATCATCAGTAAAATCTTGTCGGGAGTTACCATACTCCCTTTGTCGGTACCCACCTCCGACGTTCGCCCGCAATTAAAGTTTGATTTTTTTAAGTCCACAATAACAGTAAGCTTGTCGGGTGCTACCACATTCTCTTTGTCGGTACACAGTTCCGACGTCCCGTTCACTTGCAATTCGAATTTTGGGTGATTTCGTTAAAAACACGGTACAAAATAGTAATCAATTTTTCTGTACTTCTCATAGCTCGAGCTTCTATTGGCGGCACGAGAAAGAGAGGTTGCGATTTGAGCTCTAAGAGGGGACTTTAAAATAATCTCTTGCGGGAAGTTTCAACTAGATGTGGGGTCTCGAGTACTTCCAGTCTGCCTACGTACCTGAAAATTCATACGAGGAACGTGGAGAGCGAGCAATTTCAATTAAAGTTATTTTCAACCCTACAGCAACGCATGAGGGTAGTTGTATGAGGTTGGCGAGCAAGGGGGTATAATATAATATAAAGCAAAATTACGCGAATTGAACAGCGAAAAATTATTTAAGGACCTGGAAAGTGACCGCATTCCCAGTTTGAATTTCGTGCAATTGGGTTTTTAAATGGTCGAGATGCCAAAATGCCACTGTGAATGTTGAATCGAATAAGCACAACTTTTGGTACAGCGTATTATACAGTGAATTTTTTTTTAATGCGAACATAGGAGTTTGTATGCAATGTAATTTCCCTATGTTCGATTTTTAAAAAAACACATCAATCTATTGAGTAGTTCAAATGAGTAGTAGATACAATTTTGACAGCTGTCACATTTTTAAAAATGCCGCCGTCCAATTTAATTACGAAATCGGTTAGGTTATTGCTTAGAATGTCAAGAAGGACACTTCGAACATTTATTGTAATTGTTTTCGTTATTTATTTTCTTATTTTCTTTATTTATGTATTGAATAAATCAAATTAGTAGAATACCAAGTGCACATGACCTACAAATAATTGAAGGTTGGTTCACAATGAATTGTGATGTCAGGGAGTGGCATGTGAAGTCAAGTTATCGTAAGTTAAAGAAAAATGCATCCTAAAGTTGATATGGCCTCACATGGCTTAATTAAAAGAATTCATAGTCACACAAATTGCGCGTTTTGGGAATGTGAACCGCGCACATCTCATAGATTGATGTGGTTTTTTTTTAAATCGAATATAGGGAAATTACATTGCATGCAAACTCCTATGTTCGCATTTTAAAAAACTCACTGTATGGTTAAAGCTATGCCCAGCTTGAATTTCTAACTAACGGAGATGTCGGGCCTTCCATACTTTTTGGCCTGCATTGCCAATTCACGAACTCCGATCTACAAATCGGAATCCACCTACAAAATTTCATTCTAATCGGTCCATCTAGTTGAAACTTCCCACTAGAGATTATTTCCAAGTCCCTTCTTGGGAGAAATTAAAAAAAAACACTCGTGGGAATGTGAAATCTTGCAGACGTGTACAAGATGACGTAAAAAAGTTATGACGTCGCCCTTTGTTTGCAAAACAAATTTTTTCTATTTGGGTGTTACAATGAGAATTTTGTGCAACTGTTTTCGGCAAAAACAGTGTTTCAATGAGTTCCATTGTAACATTGTTTTTGGTAACTTTTCATCTCTAAGTTGGCAGTTCGCCAAGACGTCAACGTCAAATCATCAGATGTGAAATCAAATTACGTAAAATTTACGTGTTTTCCTTGATTTTTGGTACACGAAGAACTTAATACATTCCAAATTAGCAGTTTACACATCCACCATAAATAAATTTAGGTATCTACGAGTAAAAAATTACACATTCACGGAATTTAAAGTTTCCAAATGTCAATGTTGTGTTTATCTACGCTGCCAACTTAAAATTTGTCAACGCAAATGGTGTTGCCAACTTAAGACATATTAATTTTAAAGTTTTCTGTAGTTTTGGATAATTATTTTTTAATTAAATTAAAGCCCCGAAATAGAAAAATAGTATGAAAAACACGTGTTACAATGCTTTATTGTAATACTCCTATCTTGTGGACACTCGTGGCTCCGCTTCGCTACGCCACTCGTGCCACAAGATAGTCGTATTACAATAGATCACATTGTAACACTTGTCTTTCAATATACTATTTTCAACCCACCGCCTCTTATGTGTTGCTGTAGGGGGTTTAAATTTTACATTTGACATTTTAGGGAGGTATAAAGCCTGTATATACATTTTGGGACATATCTGATCATCCCTACCATCGTAGACCTAAGAGCCCTACTCTAACCCCTTGTCTTTTTACAAGCGTTCTTCTACTGGCTCGCATTTACTGCCAGCCAGCCAGCCAAAGTGAGGTTAAAACCTACCTTTATACAAATAAATTTGCAAAAATGCGCTAAAAAGAACTTAATTCGTAACAACGGCATGCAGAATTGTTTAACCAGGTTAATATAAGATTTTTCTTCGCTTGTCTTTGATTTAATTATTACATTGTATTGTAGTTTCCGTGAAACCTACACGTCAGCGCGAATTTGTCACTCCACAAAAAAACCGCATGTATAACTGGTCTCCGTCTCCAAGTCGGTGCGATATTCATTCTGTTTTTCGTGCTCGTCGCAGTGCAACATACCGGCAAAATGCCTAAACGATCGAGTGCTTTTTCACCCCGTGACAAAAGGGGTGAAATAAAATTATTCACGAAACAGTTCCGGAAAATGCTGGAGCATTTACAAAACGTTTACAAGACAGTGATGAATCTACAGGTAGGCTATTTTAATTAAATATTGTTGTAAAGGGTTATTCCCCAAAAGAACACTGAACTTCAGTTCACAATAATCTTAAATACCGAGTGGTATTTAAAACAGTAGTGAATTGGACTTCATTGTATTTTAGTTCTTTTCTGTGGGAATGGTTCCGGCACGCTTTCGTTTGCGTTGGAATTTCTTATTTGCGTTGTGTTGGAAGGTCACAAATTCCAAACCAATTTATCGTTCGATATTTCGGTAGACAAACTGCGTTTAGAAATCTTATGTAACCCATAAGGGTTAAAATAAGCTGCTACCTTTGTTATTGCCATTACACCGTGCGACGTTTTGGCAAATGAATATTTTAAGAACAGTAATGTTCTCTTCCGGTAGGTTAGTATTTTCTGGCTTGTGATTCGTTGGAAGAAAAAGGAAAAAGTCCTTACTTATAAAATTTCGGAACATGGGTTCATGATAGCCCTGCAGCAGCAACTTACTCAGCATCACAGTTGGGGCAGTCATAGAAAAGATGTTGCCCGTCACAGAACAGGCAGATGATTAAAAAAAAATTTAAAACAACATAATTACTTTATTAAGGCCCTGCATTTTAAATTTGAAGACTACAAATCTGCTCATAGCGTACATTACCTTTGTTGCGTTCAGTACCGGTTTCACTATTGCAAAATTTTTATCCACAGCTTTGCCTGTTAATATGGGAGTTCCACAAGGATCTGTTTTGGGACCTATTTTATTTTTATTATTTATTAATGATATTGTCATGTTTTTAAATTGCTTGGTTTATATGCGGATGATACGACGGCATTAATATCCGAAAAAAGGCAAGAAAATATATATCAAAAGCTATTGAGATTCTAAATAAGCTTAGTAATTGGTTTAATTTTAACAAATTATTCTTAAATCGCGATAAAACGTTTTTCCTACCGTGTACAACTTTTGGAAATAACTATTTGTCTAACTCAAGTAATAAAAACATTAATATTCTAGGCACTGGGAAGTTTTTGGGGATCTATTTAGATCAAAACTTAAATTAATGGATGTGAACCATACTTTATTTTATTACTATGCTCAAATTCAATCCAAATTATCCTATTGAATAATTATTTGTGGCTCGTCAAGTGCGGCAAAAATGTTTTTCTGGTACAAAAACGAATAGTCAGATGTGTTGCTGGTAGTAAGACGTATGATTCGTGTCGCTCGATATTTAAAAAATTGAATATTCTTACACTTTCATCACTCTATATACTTGAATTGTTAACTTTTATTTTCCATAATCAGCAACATTTCTTACGCCATAGCAGTTTTCATAATTACAACACGCGCAATAAACAACAATTTATCACCCCTTTAACAAGGCTTAAACTTGCCCATAATTCTCCCACGTCAATGGGCATTAAATTATTTAATGCTCTTCCAACACTTAGAAGTCAGGAAACAATAAAGTGCTTTAAAACTTCTTTAAAAAAAATTCTTCTAGTCAATCATACACTCGCTATTGATGAATTTCTAAATTGTATTGATAAAAATTGGGGATCTCTAGTATAATTTTGTTTGTCCTTGTATTGTGTTGACCAACATTTTTAAATTGTATTTAATTGTATTTATTTTGTGTTTCTGACGTATCCTATACAATTCAAAATTTGTCTTGGGAATTAAAAAAAAGTGATACGAAATACCGCGGGTTGGACACCTTTGAACACGTTATTACGTTCCTTTTTCCCCTTTAATACTTATTTAGTTCTGGCGCCTTCAAAACCCCTCATGAAGTTTTATTTTGTTTTCTTTTGTTTTTATTTTAGGTTAGGGTTAATATTTAGTTTTATAATTAGGGATTTTCTTTGGGTTTTTTTTGGTTGTTTTCATACCAGACCACAAATTATACACGCCGTTTGATTTTCCAAGATTATAATAACGTTCTTCAGGTGCGCGTTTCTGTTTCATCGTCCGTAAGTACCTCTTTGGGGTTATTTTGTTCATAAATTCTGTATATTTTCTAGAACGTAATTAAAGTTCTGTAATTTGTCGTACCACCTTATAAGTATTTTTGGTTGTTTGTTTGTCGTATTCCGTATTTTTATTTTTCGCTTTCCTTTTAGGGCCTTTTTATTTTCCTGTACCGGTGTCTGTATTTCTGGTCATTTTCTACGTAAGCAGTCACTGGACGACCACCAACTCCAAGGATCAGAAAACACCGTCTGTGCCATCGTTTTCATTCCCCTATCTAATCGTTCCTTTCGATATTCTGCACATCCCCTACCGTTTAAATTTCGTTCCTATCTATCTACTGTACTCGTAGTTAAACAAATTGTTTGTATCTCCCATTTGTTCCACCCCAATCATTCCCCGTAACTATAGGTACGACCAAAAAAGGAAAAGTATTACTACTTTTAATTCTGAGATCTCACAAACAGTCACATACGCATAAAGCAGACACATAAATTTGAATCAATGATTGCTACTCATTTATATAATAGTTTATCGTTCCTACCTAGCCCTCATCCCTTTTTTCCTCCCCTAGATTATTTCCTTCACAAAAAAAACAATACACACAGTTTGCATTTATCATTTTAATTTAATTTGTATTTTCGAGAAAAGTCCCAGACGAGATTAAACATTTTTTTCTGAAACCACTTTAGAAACAACCACTTTCTTCTCTAAAAAGGGTGAAGAAAATGTCACTTACCTCTCTAGTGAGGAAAGTAAAAAACAATTGCTGCGTTAATCTTAATAATGACATTTAAAATTGCATCTAGACAGCTGTGTGTCAAACGTCATTGTATACGATAATTTTTTAAATTTTGATTCTAGTTTCAGAGAAAATTATGTGTAAAACTTGAGAAGACTTAGTGTTTCATATTCTTCCCCTTCTTTTTATTGCCTTAGCTTCCAAGAACCACCAGAGGGTTGTTTTCTAATTTTTGGGCACGGCTCCCTAACAGGGAAATAAAAGTTAGTGGCGCCTAAATTTTTACTACCTCTTACCAACGTACCCTAGTCTCTCCGTGAGTAACTGCAGCCGTGGTTAGGGCGATTAGTTTATTTTGCCCCCTTTTATTTCGTGTCCTTGACCGACGTTTTTTAACTTTTATAATAAATCGATAAAAGAACCGAATGAAAAGTTTGCTAAAGCTATCATTGGGTCTACAACCTATAATTACTTATAATTACTTAGTTGGTACGGAGCTACTCTTACTTGTTTATATTATTATAATTGTATTAGTGGTAATATGTAGTTGTTGTCAACGATTTTTATTAATTATATCTACGGGAAAGCTCGGAAAATTATAATTAATCTTTCTTTAGGTAAGTCGATTAATTTTTTAATTTTCTGGTTCATTTGATTTTAATGAAAGTGCAGAACTAATACATAATAATGTCCTTCTGAAGGCTAAGGACCAACTGACTCTCTTATTCTAAGGCTAAGGTATAACAATAAAGGCCACTTAAACTTGTTTGACAATGTTGCCAAGTCCATTTTCTTAAAACTTACTCGTAAACTAAACTAAATTCGAACAATTGGTTATGCAATTAGTGTGTATAATCAATGTTTCGAATTAAACAGGAATCTCTTTTTTGCGACTAACTGACATATAGAAAATATGACCACAAAAAGCTTTTTTTCAGACAAGCCCTCGCTTTCTAAGAAAACTAAAACCGCCCTTGGCTGTCATTACTTAATAAGATTAATTTAAAAGCAATTTTAAATGATCGAACATTCTTTATAACTTTGTTATTTCGATTTCGTTTATTCAGAGTGGCTCATAGAAACCAAAACAGAGCTACTTTCCGATAGTTAAAATTGAATTTTCAAAAACCCTCGGCTTCGAGGGAGCATCGCGTATGATGAAATGCTCCTCTGCTCTTTTTATCCCTAGAATGGCAAAAAAATTGTACATAATTACACACATTGAATGGGAAGATGGGCGAAGGAAAATCGTTCTAAACACTTTCCGTGTTGAAAATTAAAATTACCTTTATAATATAAAGGTAATTCGTGCTTCCCTTGGCAATTTATCAAAGTCAAATTATACTATCATAAAGCCCGTTATAAACAACTCAAAGCCTTCGCTCTATGTAAATCACTCGGCATTAACTTTTGCGTCAATTTTTCACATTCCTAATACCCACTTCTCCTTTTTTTAATACGAATATATCGCCTTGTTCTACATAAAGAGACGTAAGTCAACGGCATCTTAGCGTGCGGTGTTTTGCCCCGAGATGACGGGAATATTCTCGTCAACATTTGTCTAGTATCGACTTTGTTTTCGCCGTAGGTACGCTAGAGTTTAATCCCCGAGGAATGTCGGGAATTTAAATGAATTTGCGAGTTTGTTTTAAATTAGAATAAGTAGTCGATCGAAGTCTTTGGGGTTTTTGAATGTCATTTTAACTTGATGGAAAGCAACTTACGTTTCAACGAACTTTTTCCTGCAGAGACGTGAAAATGCCATCAAATTACCTACCTCGGGGGGGACCTTACATAGTCGTAATTCTTTTGCTACTTTCAAATTATGTTAAAAGGGTTTTTACCTAATTATGGGAGAATACAGGGTGTTTTACAAATAATGTAATAATAAGCAGCAATAAGGTGAACTTGAGTTGGTAAATAGTATAATTTTATTAAAAGGGCCATACGGCCATTTAGAGAAGACGTCTTCCTGGTTGATCGGTTTCCAAATTTTAACGCAGCACGCGATAATTTTTATGAAATCTTCGGAAAGTAAGCCTTTCTGGAACCTTAGACTTCACAAGCAAGGTGGGACCCAGAGCCTGTGATAATGTGACATATAAAAGTATCCCCCGATGGCATTTCTACAATTTGAGTTCTGTGTGATAGCTATGATTATTATAAACAGAATATTCCCAACGACTCACCATATTTAGGTATACAGTTTTTCTAGTAGTCAGTAGTGGGTCACTGAATCAAAGACTGATGAAAGGTCTTTAAACCAGCCAACAGTGCTAATAACTTTGTGTGTGGCAGTAAAAATTCCCGAAAG